CATCCTGGCGACCCTGATGTGCTGCACACGCTCAGTCAACTCCTGGGACATCATCGTGCAGAGAGTGGGCAACAAGCTGTTCTTCGACAAGAGAGACAACTCTGACTTTGGTGAGGCCTTGTGAGAGCTGCTCACACCTGCTCCCGAAATCTTTGGTGGTCGAACCATAAAACCTCAAATAAAAGTCTCAAATAACAGCAGATTTAAAAAAAACAAAACAAAAAAAAACACTGAATCAAGTGAAATTACCTGGAGCCTACTACAACAGCTCATATGGTAAATGAAATTTCAGGTACATTTTTCATACTGTAATTAATTCCTGCTGTGTCTTCTGATCAATCTTAAGCTACCATCAATGCATCCTGATGGTTTTTCACAGTAAAAGACTTTTTTTTCTGCAAAACTTTTAATGTGAGAACCCGAGTTGCAGTCACAGTAGCTTAACATTGGTCAGAGAAAAAAGGAAAAGTGGATCCTGATGTGACTCTAGTTTTTCAGATGAGTCAGTGTTACGGGAATGGGGAATGTTTCCGATTTGTTCCTGTCCTTCTGAGGCCACTTTATCACAGTTTAACTCACAGTGTTTAACTGTTATGTTGCTCTGTAACTCAACATCTGTAACTCTTCCTCTCAGATTTGCTCACTGTGAGTGAGACGGCCAATGAGCCACCACAGGATGAGGGCAACTCCTTCAACTCTCCCCGTAACCTGGCGATGGAGGCCACGTACATCAACCACAACTTCAGCCAGCAGTGTTTACGGATGGTAAAAACATACACAATTTAAAACCCATATGTGTCACATTTAATGTGATTTACAGCATCTTCTTAAAACGTGTCTTTTGTTTGTAGAAAATGAGTCTTGGTGAAGCTTGGCACAGTTTCTGTTGTTATGACCTGCAGAGGTGTCATCTAGTGCCTCCAGCAGAACTTGATTTGTCTCAGTTAGGAGTTACACATGAGTTATTTTCCTGTCTGGGCTCTTTGACAAAACTAGATCTATAAAATGTCCTAAATTGAAATGTTTCACTTGTGTGTTTGTTTCCTCTTATTCAGGGTGGGGAGCGTTACAAGTTTCCTACCTCCAACCCGTTTGTGGAGGAGGACATGGACAAGAGCGAGGTGGCGTCTGTGGCCTACAGGTAAACACTGAACTGAGTTGTTTAGTTAATTGTCAAGTTGATTCTTTTATATCCTCGGTTCTCCACCGGTCTAGACTTGGGGTCCAGGTTTTACCCTAGACATCAGCGGCCCGTCCTAGTACCCACATTTGTTTCATATGAGAAATGATTTCTGGGGAATTTTAACCTTAATGCTCTGCATGCTGGGAAGTATATGTGAATAGGCTAACAATGTCTCTAATTAACTTAATTTGATGAGTTAGGTTAATCAACACTGGGTCCCCGAAGGCTGACGAATCGTCTTTGTGTTTCAGGTACCGTCACTGGAAGCTCGGGGACGACATCGATCTGATTGTCCGCTGCGAACACGACGGAGTGATGACCGGCGCCAACGGAGAAGTGTCCTTCGTTAACATCAAGACCCTCAACGAGTGGGACTCCAGGGTACTATTACAAGGCTGGGAAAACAGTCATTTGTCATTTTTATTTTTTGCAGTCATGTGTAAAGTAGATGGTATCCTAACTGAACCTAACTCACAAGGGTCCAGTGTAAAGCTAAACGATCCATATTTTTTTTGTTTGTTCTGTTTTTTTTTCACAAGAAGAATTTCTTAATTTTTTGACCCTTAACAACCAAATACAGACACATAGTAAATGCCTGGCCAGTAACTAGATATTTTAGAAAAATCAAAGACACATAACTTGTCAAACTGTAAAAATCTCTCTGATGTGAAATGACTATTCAGTGTAGAACATGAAAGAACTTTGACCAGCTGATGTCTCTCTTTTTAAAATTAAGTTTAATTTAAACTTGTGTTGGGAATCAAGTCTTTGTAGTAAGTGGGGAAATCCTGTGCAGACCCTTCACCTGCAGCATCAGGTTGAACAGTTGCTGTTGTGTTATAAAGCTTCTGTCTGTCTGCGTCACCCTCAGTATTGTAACGGCGTGGACTGGCGTCAGAAGCTGGACTCTCAGAGGGGAGCCGTCCTGGCCACCGAGCTGAAGAACAACAGCTACAAACTGGCCCGCTGGACCTGCTGCGCCATGTTGGCGGGATCAGAATACCTGAAACTGGGGTGAGAGAGACACAAGCGATCTGTTATACTGTCTACTTGTTTGGATGTCAAAGAGCTGCAGAAGTCTGTCAGTCCAGAAACAGCACGTCTCTGTTTTCTGCCTGAATTATAATGAACATTTGATTGGACGAATAAAGCACACACGCGCTCTTCCTGTTGTAAGGATGGATTCTGTTTCCTGTGAAGGGACAAACAGTCCAACAGAGCTGTAGAAGTTTGTATCCACCGTTCATCGTATCTCTGTGTTCCTCAGGTACGTGTCTCGTTACCACGTGAAGGACTCGGCTCGCCACGTCATCCTGGGCACGCAGCAGTTCAAACCCAACGAGTTCGCCAGCCAGATCAACCTGAGCATGGAGAACGCCTGGGGAATCCTCCGCTGCGTCATCGACATCTGCCGCAAGCTGGATGAGGGCAAGTACCTGATCCTGAAGGACCCCAACAAGGTGAGAGAGCAGATCCGGTTCAGGAGCTACAGGCAGCTGTAAACTGTCGGAGCTGACGTGGTGACACTCTGTGTGTTTTCTGTCAACAGCAAGTCATCCGGGTGTACAGCCTGCCTGATGGCACCTTCAGCTCTGATGAGGAGGAGGAGGAAGAGGAGGATGAAGAGGATGAGGAGGAAGAAGGTGAGATTCCTGCTACTTTTACTCTTAACGTCTACATCCAGGAAATCAAGTTTTTTTTTCTACTTGCACAAAAAAAGTTTATTTTAGAGCTAAAAGCATTATGACTCCAGGAGCCGGTTTCACACAGACAGACAGATAGAACAAACAGTCAGACTTAGGATAGACTTAGTCTGAATCCATATGTTGCACAAAGCAGTTTAGTTCTTGACTAACTTAAGCCGGACTGTGGTGGAGTTTATTCTGGGTAAAATTTTTTCAATATATAAAAAATGGCCAACTGAGAAACCACATCTAACCACTCAGCTCCCCAGCTTACCCCAGCAGAGAGTTCAACAGTTAAAGACTGTATGAAGAGTGTAATGATTTGATGAAAAATCTGATTTGGAAAAAATAAAATCACTACGGTCTCTAAAAACTCTTTCCCTTCCTGTTAGCAAACCACAAGCCATGTTTTCCTGTTTTTTTGTTGCTGGGTGCCACTGGTCATTTATTGTTTAAAATGAACTTAAAATGAGTCAGTTTCTATTTTTGTGAAACGGTTTTATTTGCATTATACTAATCTGTGAGCAAAATGAAGATTGGACCAACACTACAGACCGGTCTGAAATATCTTTGTGAACCCGGCCTCGGGTGTCTTCGCCCATCTCTGATGTCCGTCAGTGAATCTAATGGAGGTTGAACGAGACCGCCTCCCTCCCTGCTTCTCTCCGCCTCAGTTTCTCTCCCTAATAACAAAAACAGAGAACTGGTTTTGCTGTAAATGTGTTTAGACAATAGAGCTGCCCCCAACCAAAGATTTTCCTTGTTGACTTTGCTCTGAGCATTCAAAAAACGCGAGGCAGCCAGGGCACAAAAGGTAGCGCACAAAACACTCCCTGTCCTTAAAGAGCAACTGAACAAAAAGACGCCTCTCACTGCAGAAACCACACACTGTCTGATCGGGGCCATAGGGATGTTTTGGATGCATTCCTACAAAGATCTATCGTGTGTTGTGTTAAAGAGATGTTCAAAGTCAACAAAAAACAGTCAGCTGCTGCCTTTGGAGATAATTAGCATAATTAAGATTTGCCTGGTCAACTATTAGTTAGTGATTAGTTTATTATTTGTCACACGTTTATGTTATTAATTTAATAATTTAAATATATATTTTTGGGGTCATCAGAAAAATGGTTTGACTTCGGGGCTGAGAGAGAATGTAATCAGTAACATTGGTAACACTGTGCTACATTACAGAGTAATACAAACCTGTAATAATCAGCCTTTTAAGATACACATTTTACAAGCGCCCGTTAACGACACTGGTAAAAATGAACGATTCCAAATGTATCTGAACAACCAACGTGTTGCCACGGAGGGCGAGCGGCCATGCTAAGTGGCTAACCTTAGGCAACTTACATGTGCCAAATGATAAGCGTTGTTAGAGATCGATGAATACAGGCGAGTGTTTGCCTTCAGAGCTGTTCAGACTTCCTTGAAAGTATCATTGTCTGAGTATAAATTCAGGGTCTGTTCCTAGAAGCAGGTTTCCACAGTCATCAGGCTAATTTACCAAACAATCTCCATATTAGTCCTGTTATGTTCGCTGCTAATTGTTTTTCTCCTCCTCTTTCTAGATGAAGAGAATTGAAGTGTGGAGTCGGCTCCAGTGACCAAAGCGGCCTGCACCGTTCTACTAGAAACACAATTTAATTCCTTTTGACATTCAATAAAGACAACAGATTGGCCAACAGCTTTGATAAGTGTTTTATCTTCATCATACTGAAGATTCAGAAAGCATTTTAATGGATAATCTTCATGACACATAACAACAGTTTACACATCAGCAGGGTTAGTGTTCACTGAATACGGTGAATTTGGTTCACTGAATACGGTGAATTTTAGATTTATAGGAATTAGAGCTGCTTATTCCCAGATGCACTTCAGAGACAGATCAGAGTTTCTCCTGAAGCAGCTGATCGACTTTCACTCTGAGCTGGAGTAAACATGTTCATCCAGTCACCGATCTGACCTGCAGTGAAAAAATAAAACTAAACCTGACGTCTCTGCTCAGAGCGGCAGCTATGATTCGTTACCTTTGTGCAATAAGTTTCCACTGACCCCTCTCCTGCCGCAGAAACTCTTACTTTGTTTTTAAATCTTTTATCATGGTCTTAAACGTAGATTTTTCTACAACTTCAACTGCTGACTGCTTCACTGAGGATTTTCCCTGCGTTACTGCTCCCTTCAGGTCCTAAAGAGAAACAACACCAACAGAGAAAAGATTTTAACTCTGTCCAACACATCAACACTTAAACAGCCCAAGAAGAAAAAACACTTCTTACAGAAATCATGTGCTGGTAGGTCAGGGAGAGGATGTTGTACTGTTCTGTCTGTATGTGGTCAAAACAGGATGATGCTCCAACTGTGAAATGGTATAATACACACTGCCAGGCAACAGGTTTACAACACCTATGATGTCTAATTACACAATTCAATGTCTCAGTGTTTCTGAAATTTAACCATAGAACAAAAACAATTGATTTAAAGAAGATTTTAATCTTGTTGAACTAAATTTGAGACTCAGCAGCTGAACTCACTCGTGGAAATCATTTATTAGTCCCAACACAGTTGCAGAAATTCCCACTTGTATTTTGCTTTACTTTCACCTTCAGTCCAGTTCATCCGAAACCAGCTCCATGAGGATCAGGTCTGCAGTCTCTGGTGGTCTCCATCATGTGGCTCATTATCTCGCTTCAGGATGAACCTCTGACCAACCAGTCTGTCTCCATTTGTTACATGTCTTTTCTTTCCATTCTGACAGCAACAGCAGAGGGTGCAGCAGAGGGGGTAACACAGTTTGTTCAAGCAGTGTCTTTGTACAGAGGGTTTGTAAAGTCATCACCAAGCTAGGCTGGAAACCACTGGACTAAACTAACAGTATGTGAAGTAGTTAACACCAGCTCCACCTCGAGCAGCTACAACAGTAACTTCTGCTTTTTGTTAAATATTAACTAATTGTATCTCTCTGGGCCTCAAACAGTCAGTCAAATGAAACAATGTGAAGTTAAGAGGAGAAGTGACTGATGAAACTGCTATCAATTGATACACATCTCAGACGTCACAAAGAACCACATCTAGATACATATATGTGTGTGTATATATATATATATATATATATATGTATATGTAATTACTTTTTTTCCCCATAATTTTAGTTTTTCTAAATTATTTGTCGGTCCACTTACAATACCTTGACAGCCCACCAGGGGCTGACAGCCCTCAGGCTGGGAGCGACTGCCTTTGAAGAAACATCAGAGACTCAGCCACGTTTGCATTTATTCTGATGCTACAGTAAGAAATAGACAGGAAATCAGGGATGACGTGCAGCAAAGGGCCACAGGTCAGACTTGAACCCATGGCCGCTGCGGTTAGCATCAAAGCCTATGTGGTACGTGCTCTACCAGGTCAGCCGCCAAGGCGCTCCGGCAGCTTTTATTTGTTAATGTTTGTTAGCTTGCAACTGGCAGTGGCCTTTGTCTGACGCACTGACTGCTGGGTACACACTGCCACCAGCAGTAAGCTTTAGATACAAGACAGTGTTTGATTGTTTTGCTGGGAGTTGATTTACTTCTTGAACAATGTGAAAGTCTGAAATGTCAAGCGTCATACCAAATGTTCAGTGCTGAACTGTGGTTCACTGAGTTCTCATACCACATCCTTCACAAGCATTGTGTGTGGGATGTACTGTCTAGTGCATCACTAACAACATCGGTGGAAAAATTGCTGTTCACATGGTAAAATCACAAGACACACACATATACGCACGCACGGCTGGGTAGCCTTTTGTTGTATTGAGTAAGAGCAAGTGTAAATAAGTGTTTTCAGTTGTCCTTACTGATTATACACCTGCCCAGGGTGAAGTTAGTTACATGATGTAACTGGACAACCATGTACCTGTCGCCATGTCCAGCGACAGCATCGTCAGGATCTCACACCTTAGTGTAAACACAGTCTTTGGTGCCATGAAATCACCAAACAGGCCCTGTGTGCAAAACAGACAGCAGTTTTATTCTAAGTGGAACTATTAATTTAAAAATAAATCCTTGGTCTTAGTATTACAGTGATTTAATTCACCAAGACGCCTCACACAGTCACTTTGAAAATAATTATATGGAAGTCTTTTTTTTCTTTATTATATTTTCCTTATTATCAGCAGACATGTTCTTGTATCTTTCACATGTTCTTGTCTATCTTTTACATTTTCTAGTCTATTTTTCACATGTGCTTTATCTTTGATGCTTGTTCTTTATCGTTCATGTCATTTGCTGTTGATTCTGTGTCTCTCTCCTTCTTGTTCTCCTTCTTCTCTGGATAAAATGGCGTATCCAGGATAGCTTTGTTTTTTGATGTTGACAGGCTTTGACACAAGGATCCACAGATCTTCTCCCATGAGTCCATCTCTAAGTGCCAAAGTTTCGCTGTGGCCCTGATGGACTGTGAAGCTCCACCTTTTGCAGCTCTGGCCAGACTGAGGCTGTTTTTGCAGATGGACAAGATGTTGAAGCCGAGGAAAAAAGCACTGACTGTGATTAAACCAGTCCTGGCTGCTGTCATCTGAGGCACATCGCATGCATCTAATGCTCCACCTTCAACACCGGTTTCAGTATTTGTTCCTATACCACCAATATCAGTCAGAACTCTGGGTATTCCCTGAGCCACATCGATCTTACTCGCTTCCATTCTGGAGACAGGTTGACCGGTCGCCTCCTGCAGACAGTCCTGGAGACGCTGCACGTCCTCCATGAAGCTCTGGAAGACCTCACTGGCTTTCTTTTGATGTTTACGCTTTACTCTAGTCTCTGCAGTTGTGGTGACAGCACTGGTGACGAGACTGGTGAGTCCCAGACTTAACCCTGTCATTGCCAGACCTAGAGTCACTCCTGCTGTAACAGGGGTTAACGCCAACCCAACAATGGAAAGCACACCTCCAACCGCCCCCACTGAGCCGCCTGCCACTCCGGAGATCTTTGCCGTCTTCTTCATCTTGTCAAGCTGATCAGCAATGTCCTCCAGGTCATGTAGAAACTGCCTCATCCTGGGCCGTCGCTTGTTGAACTCAGTGATGAATCTACGACATAACTCTTCCTGGAGCAAAAACACCAGTCGAAACCGCTGGTCATCCCTGATGAATCAGAAGAAGATTGAGGAAAGATCAGATTGATAGGACCACCACTTGCAACCGTTAACACACAGGAAGTAACGGTCATCTGTCTCACATCAACCTTTCAGGACCCAGATCAAGTGAGTTAAATAAGCGGTAGATGATGGTAACAATATGTCTTTGCTGTGGACTGAGACTGTCTAAGGGAGAGATTTAGAAAATGAAATGAACAAACTAAATATCTAATTTAGAAACATCTGTGAACGATCAAACATTTCTGCTGTATGAGTCATTTGTGATATTTATGGCCCCTGGTGGAGATAAAACATTTTTTAAATATGCGCCACCACTTTACAATAACACTACCATATAAAGGATTTATAAATGGTTTATAATTAGGTCATTCCTTTGGTTGTAATATAGCATAAATAATAGCATAATAACAGTTTTCATACATTTTTGCAGGCTCACTATTTGGCAAGAACAAGTTAATGCTTACTACTCATTATTCTTACTAATGAGTAACTACCATTTATAACTGGAGCCTTATTATAAAATATAAAACCCGTCATCATTTATTAATGAGTTACCAGTTATAAATAATAGTAACTCATTAATAAATTATGTTTTAGACTTTACAATAAGACTCCCTTTAGCAATTTACAAATGTGTTTTGACCATTAAGATTCTGATGGTGGTAAATTGGTAGTAACTTAAGAAACATGTTATGAAGCAGCAGGTACAAACGCTGGATGATGGACAAAACAAAGAAATCTCAGTATCTAATGAGATATGAGGCTGAACAGTACAGATACATGTAGGCTTACTATTTGGCAAGCAACAGGTCAATGTTGCCCTTTTTTATCTAATGTGTTATAACAGCTTATAAATGAATTATAAAGTGCTAACAAGCTAATTAATAAACTACTTATAAACCATTTATAAATTCTTTATAAGGGTAGTCTTATTGTAAAGTGGTACCAAAAGTGCTTTATAGATGATCAGTTTCTTCTTTGTCCATCATCTAAGGATGTGCTCTCTTATACCATGAAAATCAATTATATACCACCTGCTGCAAAATGCATGATTCCGCTTTACTGGTCCAGTCTGTGGTAAAGATCACAGGGATGAGCGCTCAGTGTGTTTAGGTAACACTCCTGTCTGGAACTAGAAGAAGTTTCTGAGGTTGAAACGACATGATTGATATCAGATATTATGCTACTAGTTATATTAAATTTGTGATGCACAGGACTGAGTCGTTTGGATGTGAGAATTTACTCAGTCAGCCATAATCACACGCGGGGCAAAGAACAGTTGTTAAATGACTCACGTGCGAGAAAGTGCTCAATCGATAAGAAATTGAATTGTGGTTGAATCCACGATGTCAAGCTGAATTTTATGTACATGTGGAGACTTTGCATAAAATTCAACTTTACATTCTGCTTCAAACAAAACAATATACATCAGTTTTGCATTCAGGACAAGATAAAACAATTCCACACAAGGCCAAGTTTCAAACCTTTGACCTTAAAGTGCAGAAACACAGGTAAGTCTTCTTCCTTATACTTGAACTTCCTTTTATATAAATATCTGAAATACCAAAAGAACCTCAATCTGCTTTTGTGTTTTCTGTTGTAAGTATGAAGATGCAGTACGGACAATATATGTCAAAAATTTTATTTTATTTGTATTAAAGTAATTGATTGTATCTTCACCAACTTTGCTACCACAAATCAAACCAAACAGGGGTACAGCACTACCTGGTGTGTAACAGCTCACTGACATGACAGAGCTTCCTCTGCACGTCCTCCTCAGACGACGTCACATCGACCTCCACCACAGGTGTCGTCGGGCAGCTGTCGCCAACAGATCTGTGAGTGATACAGTTACCGTTCATCCAGACTCTTGTGGTTTAGCTCCTTTTAAACAGTGTTTCATATCATTTCAATCGAAACAGAATGTGCTGTTCATGAAACATAAGTTTACCTTTTCTCTAACTCCTCGCAGATCTTCTGGGTGGTCTTTATGCATTTATCCAACTGATGCGACATGATCTGAAGCCGGGGGAGGAAGAAGACTTGTGCATCTCTCTTAAACTCGAGGAGGAGAGGGCAGATTATTTGTGTGACAATGACAAGGACCTCAAAATGTTCAAGGATGGTCCCGTTGGGAAGGCGTAACACCTGGTTCTCCTCTGTGGACACAGGAAGTGAGGCGACCGCCAGCCTCCCCACTGCATCCAGGAAGCAGCCGAGCTTCTCCAGGCCTCCCACAGTGTCCTCCAGCACAGCTGCCAGCTCCTTCTGTAGCTTTGCACGCCTGCGGTCCCCAAAGCAAAGGTTCATCTTGTTGTTCTCACACTATAAAAAAAAAAAAATTCCTTACTTCTGCTTTTTGACTTGGCAACATCACTGTGCTTTGGGTCCATCTCCTGAGACAGGTCTATGGCGTCCTTTGTGTTGCTCAAGTCTTTCCTTCCGTCATCTCTCTGTTCAGAAAACCCCTAACAGAATTTTCCTTCTGCATCAACGTGCTGTAGAGTTTCTGAGATGAACCAGTGTAAAGCTTCCTCTCTGTAATACAGAACAAACCTTGCGTTGTTTCAGCTGTTTAGTGTAACATTGACCCTATTGTCTCAACATTTGTCATCACACCAATGTCGTCCTTTGCTTCATCACACTGTGCAGACTGCTTTTCATTCATTTCTAACTGTCCAGTGGATTTTTTCAGTCAGTTACTGAGTTGAATGATCCCTCACATTCACATATTTCATTGCCATGTTCAAGCCTGCACAAACATGTATGCCTCAAGTGTAAAAAATTGATAAAACCTTAAAGGTTCAGTAAATGATTTTAAACTATAATACAGCAGCACACAGCTATTTCCTATGTAAAGGTATAGTGGCATAATGGTGTGAAAATAAAGTACATAAGTGTGTGTTGTAGTCTGAGCTTCTCTGTTCTTTGATTTGTAAGGCGGTCTGGTAGTGCGTGCATGTTACTGCATGTGAGTCCCTTCTGTTAAACAGTTGGTCCTCCCCACGTTTATAAACACACTGGCTCCGGCCACAGGTGAGATGGTACTGTGCAGTGTTCAGGTCAAATTGACCATCCAGAATTATCTCCACTGAAGAAGAAACCATGTTTTCATCTAAAAAGGTCTCTGACAAAGAAAGAGATGAGACCAGAGCACAGGTGGACTGGACGTGAGGACTACCAGCTAAAAAACCCAGTCAGCTGGTGGCCCATCAAAACATCCATTAAGTTTTTACCAGCTCCATCAGTGTCATTCTGTTGGCTGTCATGTACACGCAACAACTTTATTCAGTTGTGCTTGTGTTGAGTGTTTAGTGTCTTTGTAACACCTTGCTGACTGAGAACAATTACTGGAACAATACTTGTCCAGCACAAGCTGTCATGTACAGACAGACATGGCAAAGACAGAAATACTGATGCAAAAATAAAGCTGTAAATCAGCAGAGCTGTTGAAGCTGGAAATGACATTTTGGAAATGGTCAAAATATGGAAGCATCAAAGCAAATCTAGTAAAGAGGACAGAGAAGACATTAACTGATAAATGTATATATATATATATAAAAATATATATATATATATATGTACACACACACATATATATATATACACACACCTAGAATTACATTTATTTTTGCCATAAATTAGGCAACAAATACTACAAGGACTGTCTAAATTACAAAATAAGAAAAGCCTGAGATTAGCAATAATGAATAAAAACATAACAATAATATAACAGTTTCTATGAATTCACATGTATTCTATTTTTAAATATCCATTCAAGACCACACTTGTTCACTTCAGTTACAGCCCCTCAGCTCCTGCAGGTCTTTTACTTCTTGCGTCAAATTTATCGCAGTTTAAACATTCAAACGTTACCTGGTCGAAGACACCTGACTGCATCCACTTATGTGGCTCATCAGCTCCTTACAGACTTGTCATTAACCAGATGCATGGATAAAATCAAAGATTTAGATCACAAGGTGGAGGTAGAAAGGTTTTTGTCTTCCTTGTTAAATGGACTGAGCATATGCTCTAGGTGACTTGGTGAGAAGGGAGTCTGTATAAGGACGCTGGTTTGGTTTCACTTTTGCTTCTCAGCATAATACCTATAAAATACCATTCTAGTAAAATGATATCGATAATGTTAATAATGATAATTATCGATAATTAATAATGATAATTATGATAATTATGCAGATTTTCCCTTTGCTTAACAAATTTTTTTATGAATCCTATAAGGGTTATTTGAATTGGAGAAGAATTTGAAGCAGGAAAATCAGCATAAACCAAAATGCAGTTGTACTGCTACTGAAATGAGTCGGTTGATTACCATGTTTGCACACACCACTGAACTTTGTGAACTTCATTTCAGCTCACCACAGTGGGTGTAACACAGAGCTGTGAGCCGCTGTCAGTTGTGAGAGGTGCAGCTGTGTTTTTGTATATAATTTAAACAGTTGATTATTAAAACCACCAATGACTCCCTGCCCATTCCATATCAATTAATGCCATTATTTGAGCATTATTCGTGTTCCAGCTCTGTATCTAAGACAGTTTGCTGAAGGACACACAATTTAATGAACGTGAATGAGTGCAGGCAGTGAAATGATCATACAGTAGGTAGAAGGCTGGGCTGTGTCCAAGTGTGGACTGGGGGAGCCGGGGATTTAAAAGTGCATTGCACACGAAAAAGCAGATCTTAAAAGTATATCCCACCCTTTGTGCACTCTCTGCAGCTTCTCTGTACGAATCCAACCACTCTGTCTTCAAGGTGGAAATTTAACAAAGGCAATAATTATTACATCATTATATCCTTTTAAAATCTTGCACAATAGAAAAGTGAAAACATTTTTTGTTTTTATTATTAGTATTATTATTGTGAGAAATTTAAAGGGACATTTTTCGGAGCACACGTAGTGCTTGAGGCTCTGAACTTGCTCTTGCTAGAGAGAGAGAGGAGATGTAAAACTACATTGAGATGGGTTTTGGTTCTTAAACCACAAATATCTTCTTATGGATCAATACTTCAAATAAAACACAGGAAACGTGTAAAATATGGGACATTTAAAGCTTTACAGAAAGGAATTGCAAAGATGGGTAAAGCAGGTGCCTCCATGAACAAAAAAAGTCCACATTGTATGAAACAAAAAAAAAGAAATATCGAAGAAATAATGTATTATTCTTATTTAATCTAATCTACACATTAAGGTTAGCATTAATGGCTGTTTACCTACCAGTCTAGAGAAAATGTTGTGATCAGCATCAAACTTTATTGCTTTACTCACCAACAGCTGTCTCAAAAGTTGAAAAGAAACACTGATGTTAACTCTTGTTTTGCTTGTATTTCTATCACTTCTTTTCCTCTACTGAAGTTACCATGCTAACCAGCTAGCCTCGGCCCGGTCAGACTGTCTCGTCACTTTCTGATACCGAGTTACTACAGCGTCCAGTCTGCCCTGAAGAACTCGCTGCTCAGAGGATGTATTATAATCTATTGTCTTGTAGATTCAACTATGGCTGAAGCTCTTGGCAACACTGGTAAGTAAACAACTGTTAATGCTAATGTTGGTGTAAGGTTTGGATGGTGGTGAACCCTTACAACTAGGATGAAGGCCAGCAGGATTTATGTGCAAGCGTGGTGGAGAAATGAACAGCATCAGTCACACAAGGATTGGTTTCAGAGCTCTGATTCTGGTTTAATGGTGACCATAGGCAAATTACAAAAAAAAGTCCAACAACTCTTACACATATGTAGCAGAATGGCTTGACAACAAAAGCAGTCTGGCTGGTGCAGCAGGTCGCGGTGGATAGCAGCAGCAAAGGTGACAGTCAACCTGACTCCCCCTTCTCTGACATACTACACTGCTTTCCCACCTGGCATAACTACCCACAGTCTCTACCAAAACATTACATAGTGAAGGGACCCTAAACACTAGCACCATACATTTAGAATACCTATTTAGAATTTAACCATACAATTTAACCATACTGATATTTACATACACAAGATACCCCGACATTTGGCCTAACACAGATGAAATAAAATACATAATAAACTAAAGAAATACCAAACAAAAGCCAAACTTAACAAAAACCCCTCTACCCACTCCCCTCTCTCTTTCCTGCCCACTTGGTACAGCCTAACAAGGTAATTAACACCTGCTGAGTCCGGTGGCTGCATTCCCATGTGTGAACTCTATGAAAACAGGCCCCCTGGAAGTAGACCTCAAAGAGAGAGTGATTAGTAGAAGTTCCCAAAATAAAAGCAGAACATAACAAGATAAACTTTCTGTATTAGCCAATGTGTATTGTTTTTCACCTTAGTGAGGGGGATGCTTGCCAGCTCCCTCACAGTTGGCTATATAGCAATAGCAAAACTTACAAATAGCTCCTTTAAGAATTTAAGAACAGAGATTTAAATTGGGTTTGATGCTAATCAGTCATTTACAGCTCTTGATTGAATTTTCGTATCATTCGTTCAAATTAATCAGAGTAAGCAAAAAGGCACATTAGAGAGTTGCCACAGATGCAGTATTGTGTGTTTACTGAGTGCTACACTACACTTGATTAAATCAAATATTCACATCTGTTTCTCTGTGTGTGTAGATCTAGATCTTCTTCATGGATAAAATGGTGTCTCCAGAGTACCTCGTTTTCTCTCTGATGTTAAGAGGCTTTGACACAAAGAGCCACGGATCTTCTTCCATGACTCTATCTCTGAGCTCAAAAGTGCAGCTCTGGCTCTGATGAACTTTGAGACTTTAGTCTCACTGCCTTTAGCCAGACCGATGCTGTCTTTACAGATGAAGAAGATGTCCATGCCGAGGAAAAGAGCATTGATTCCGATGAAACCTGCCCTGGCTGGATTGGAGATACCAAGAGGCCCTTTGACTGCTGCCTGACCAATATCTGGGATGTCTGAGGCCACCCTGGGCACATTGCGTAATGCTTTACCTTCCTGGGCCACCATCTTACCAACACCTGTAATCACCTCTTCACTTTGCAACACCTTAGCAGCAGAGGCAGCATCAACAAGTGAATCAATGCCTTTTCCAACAGCACAAACTTTACTGAGAACCTTGCCCACTCCCTGAGCCACATCAATCACACTTGCTTTAATTTTGGAGACTGTTTGACTGGTCACCTCCTCCAGACAATCCTGGAGACTCTGCACATCCTCATTGAAGACCTCGAATACTTCACTGGTTTTTTTTTGTTGTGCAACGTTTACTCCAACCTCTGTGGCTGCAGTGGCAGCACTGTTAACTCCGCTGGTGATTCCCAGCCCTACCCCTGTCATGGTCAGCGCTAGAGACACTCCTGCTGTTACAGGAATTAACGCCAACCCAACAATGGAAAGCACACCTCCAACCGCCCCCACTGAGCTGCCGGCCACACTGGAGATCTTTGCCCCTTTACTCATCTTGTCAAGCTGAACAGCAATGTCCTCCAGGTCTTTGAGACACTGCAGCATCCTGGGATGTCGCTTGTTGAACTCACTGATGAAGGCAGAACATGACTCCTCCGGAAACAAGAACGCCGTCCGGAAGTGCTGGTTCATCCTGATAAAGACAAAAGAGGAAATTAAGTGAGAATAAATAATACATTTAATACAATTACAAGTCATCCAGAAGAGAACATGAATGTGTGTAACACTTTTTATAGCAATCCATCCAATCTAAAAGTTATTGAGACATTTCCCTCAAAACCACTAATGAAAAGTCCAGAGATCACCAAAGTCATCACCAAATCTCCAAAGAATCACCAAAGCAATCAGGATTCGTCCTCTGGGGATGATATGGATATCTGTATAATATTTCATGGAGAACCATCCAGTAATTATTTTGACAGGTGGTAGATGCCAATGCCATAGAGTTGGATAATTAATCTGATGTAGGATGGGACTGAGACTGGATTGCAGTATTGCTTGGACTGTAGTCTTTATGCAGAGTAGGAATGTAAAGGAGTAAACAAGTAAATAATCTTTGCACTTAACGTGTCTATTTTTTCTCGCTATGTAGCAAACAGCCACAACACGAATGCAAAAGCCACAACATCAATGCAGTTTTTTGTTTCATTTATTGGGCGGGGCACAACTGTGTTTGAGGCCAAAAAACATGAGGTAATGCTTACCTTATTTCATCAAGCTGATTAATGTGATAAAGCATCCTCTGTGTTTCATCTTCAGACAAGTCCTCATCGAGGTCAATCAGAGTTTCCATAGTCTTCTTCAGGCAAAAGTCCCAGAGGGAGCTGTGACGGACAGTTACAATTTATTATGCCTCTAATGCAAAATGTGCATTTTATTTTGTTCATGAAATGACTGTTTACCTTTTCTCAAACTGCTCGCAGATTATCTGGATGGTCTGTATGTATCTGTCCAACTGATACGACAGCACTTCTGCATTCTGGAGTCTGGGAACAAAGAAGACTCGTGCATCTCTTTTAAACTCGAGGAGGAGGGGGCAGATTAGTCGTGCAGCAGCGATGACAGCCTGAATGTTTTCAAGGGTGATCGTTCCAGGTAGAACTAACACCTGGTTTTCCATGAACACATGAAGTGAGGTTACTGCCAGCTTCTCCACTGCATCCAGGAAGCAGTCGAGCTTCTCCAGGCCTCCCAGAGTGTCCTCCAGCACAGCTGCCAGCTCCTTCTCCAGCTCCTCACAGGTTTGTTTTCCTTTCACCATGCCCCTCATATATTCCAGAAAGGCCTTACCTTTCTCCTGTGACTTGGCAACATGGCTGAGGCTCAGGTCAGTTTTGTCAAACCTGTCTTTGATGTCCTTGATCATCTTGGATTCCTCCTCCCTCGCATGCACCCACCCTTGCTCAAAATATTTTTCTTTTATATCGGGTCAAATATCTATATTTCGGTAACCATTCTCCTTTCACCTTATTTGACCCTTTTCTGTCACTCGGTTTTTCTCTTATTCTGTTCAAAAGATTCAAACTTTACCTTGCACCAGACATTTTGTCTCCTTGGTGTGAAGTCTTCAGCTGCTCACTGGGGCTTCAGATAAAATAGAAAAGAAGGAGATTGGACGCTGTGTCAAAGAACACTGAATATGTTGAAAGAACAAAGTCACCTCTCAGAAAGCAACTTCACCAGGTGTGTGTGGTTTTGTTTTCCTTTCTCCACATTAACGAGTTGAATCATGGGCCTGCACATCGTCACAGTGAAATGACAAAATGTTTAAAATATTTGTACAAAAAAAAAAATAATAATAATAATAATGATAATAATAACTTTACTTGTATAGCATGTTCATACCAGAAATGTAGCACAAAGTGCTTTACAACAAAGAAATCACATGCACCAAGTGCTTCACATGGAAAGAGGTCAAAAACATGTAAAAGCATTGATTTAAAATGAAAAAACATTAATGTAAAATGAGATGAAATAATAAATGAAATAATAAATCATTAAATAAGAAGACATTTAAAAGAAGTGCTGAGCAGTGCATAAAGCTAAAGTGAAGAAATAAGTTTTGAGCTTTCTTTTAAAAGTGCTCAGTTTAGTTTAGTAAAAGACTCTTCATGAGAACGACTTTTTATCTGCAGACAGTCGACACGAACTCAGCCAGACTGGACCAGAACATGGTCCGATCAGTAAGGCAATTGTTAGGTTGGATAGACACAAGTAGAAGCTTCACTACAACAATATAAGTGCACAGAAAATAGACATAAAAAAAAAAATATATATCAAAGACTTAAAGGGATGCATGTATTAATTTTTACGCAGCAATACTATGAAATGAATTCAATCTGAGGTATTTATCATTGTAGAAGAGGGAAGAACAACCCAAGTTACAGGGGAAGGAAGAGCGCTTTACCAAGGGCCAGCCTTTATATTAAGGTCACCAAAATGATTATTGTTGTCATCATCATTTCATTAGATTTGTTGTTGCAGCTGTTGTTCCTACTGTATTGACGAGGCGTGCACACCGGAGTCTTGATTCAGTGTGTTTTTATTCAACACCCTTTCTACATATATGAACTAGGATGGCACGACAACCTTGCGCTACTGCCACCTGCTGGTGCAGCGGTATAACATCATGAACTCATTCCACGTGTACTTGTCATATCAATACACCTACTGTCAGTTAGTCTAGGATTTATTTTATTTCACATGTGGGTGTGTGAACATTGTGCAACTATAATGGAGAATCTCACCTAATCTCTGCACTTGTTTCCTGCTTTTGATTTGGTCTTTTCAGCACAGATTCGCTGGTTGTAGTTCTTCTCTCCAAGTCTGTTCTGTTCCCCCTTCAGATAGGATTTAGAATAGAATATATAGAATATTCTGTATTACTGTATTTATAAATATAGTACTTGTTAATTATCTAAATATACTGTATATATAAACAGTATATATATATATATATATATATATACTAGAATCACATTTATTTTTGCCATAAATTAGGCAACAAATACTGTCTAATTACAAAATAAGAAAAGCCTGGATTAGCAATAATGAATAAAAACATAACAATATATAATACAGTTTTATGAATTCACATGTATTCTATTTTTAAATATCATTCAAGACCACACTTGTTCACTTCAGTTACAGCCCCTCAGCTCCTGCAGGTCTTTTACTTTCTTGCATCAAATTTATTCGCATTTAAACATTCAAACGTTACCTGGTCGAAGACACCTGACTGCATCCACTTGATGTGGCGTCATCAGCTTCTTACAGATTTGTCATTTAACCAGATGCATGTGGACGGGTCATATTGTGTGATATGCAGCTCGAACTACTGTCGCTTCTACGGACCACAGACGATGACCAGGTGGATTATGGGGTGTTTATTACACACAGTTCCTTCCTGCAACACAGCATACAGCACAGCAATGGCGTGTGAAACTATCATCGATCTCAGGATAATCACAGTGAAGTCCTCTTTTCTCTGTTTAGTTCAATAAACAATAAAATAAAAACAAAAATTACATCCTAGTGTGATCGTATAGTGTATATTGTTATTTCACAAGCATAAGTAAAAACCCCCCACATAATCCATTATGTGACATAAAATTAATTTTAAGAACACTTTAAACATTTACCATGAGGTAAGTATAGAAATACACTAAATTTAGATGAATGAGTATTAACCCTTTAGCTGAACAGGTGGCAGCTCACACAGGCAAAATATACAATAAAATGTCATGAAAGGTAACATAACAAAATGCACAGCATATTGCCTGCAACACAGCATACAGCACAGCAATGGCATGTGAAACTATCATCGGTCTCAGGATAATCTGAACAACACATGGAATGAGGGTAAGCATTTAAGATAGTTTAGCATCATTCCGAGTCTCTAAAAAGTAGCTCTGTGGCTTAACAAATCACAGTAAGTGCTAAAAGCAGTTAGCACAAATCTCAATGAGTACATTACACAGCAAAATATAAAACATGAACACCTGAAACCTTTAACAAAATCATTGATTATCCCGGACCATGCAAGAGGACATCTTACCACAGTGAAGTCCTCTTTTCTCTGTTCAGTTCCCACGCCAACCACTGCGCCAATAGATGGCAGTGTTGCACCTTTTTTGCCATAATTTACAAAGCACAAATCTACTCCGTTACATACACCCCCCGTAAATTATGCTAAATAGGGGCAACATAGAGCAGAACTGCCAAGATGAAAAGTAAAAATTGATGCAGTGGAAAAGGAGAGAAAAAAAACACTACCAAAACCCATACTTATCACAGACAAACAGAGATGCCATTTACATCCCATAACCTTGTACATGTTTTCGCTCTATGAGTGCAGAGAATCACATACACCCAATTCATAAAGCAAACTAAATCAGTAAAATAAAAAAATAAAAAAACAAAAACAGTGACTGCTTGTCACGAAAATCAGAATGGTTGTTCTACACACAAATTGACATGTGCACATTAGCCACAACGGCACCAAACGCAGACCCTAAAGCAGGTACAGTATTCTCCACAATTCTCTGGCCTGACATCTCACAAATAAGCCTATTTGGATGCCTAACGGCCCTACCATACCTTGTGAAAACTGAAGGGGCCTGCATGGTTTGTGGATGTGTGCAAACCACCTCCTCTAACTCAACTCCATCTTGAATGAGAGGGTCATGTAAGGCAACAGGTATATCAGTAGGCAAGTGTCCTGTGTCGTGCACTGAGTCTGAAGGTGAATCATGGTGTGAATGAGTGGTGTGGCCATGTTCAAAGTCATCAGGAGCACAGTCTGGCAGCCCCACTGACTGGCCCATCTCCATGAGCACAAGTGAAGAGTCGCTGAGGTCACCTCCTCCCAAGACACTCTCACTCCCCGCTTCAGCGTGGACAGGTGACTGCATGAGCCAAGTCATAGTGCGTGATTGAGCATCCTCTTGATCATTCACAACAGAGCTCTGGCCACCTTCACATGATACAGCCGACTGTGACTCTCCAGAGATTGCTTGGGGCCCAACTTGCTCAGGGAATGTCAGGAAGTCGACTGGGAGCAGCATGTTTCTGTGCACAACCTTCTCCTTTCCCGTGACACTATCCCGGATCCTATACACGTTAATTCCAGATCTCACGGACACCACATCAAAGGGGGTTGAATCCCATCGGTCTGCAACCTTTTTCTTGCCTTTCTCACCCCGATTGGCTATCAGCACTCTATCACCCACAGTCAATGGCAACCCCTTGACCTTGCGATTGTAGATTTTCGCGTGACGTTTTTGGTCGCCATAGGCCTGCTGCTGAGCAATCTGTGCAGCTTTAGAGAGATCTCTCCTCAGGTGGTTCACAAACTCATGGCGGCTGACGACGTCGTCATTCTCCAGAACATGATGGAACATGATGTCAATGGGCTAGCGTGGGGTCCGTCCAAACATCAGGTAAAACGGTGCAAAGCCTGTGGTCTCATGCACAGTGCAGTTATAGCAGAAGGTCAACATTTGGAGCACCTGCGGCCACTTAGACTTGTACTTTGGAGGGCGAGTTCTTATCATGCCACCAAGAGTTCTGTTGAACCTTTCAGTGATCCCGTTGTCCATGGGGTGATATGGAGTTGTATGGGACTTGTGCACACCTGCCATCTCAAAAAGATCTTTGATGAGCCTGCTCTCAAAGTTGGCCCCTTGATCAGAGTGGATTCGTTTTGGGAACCCATAGATGCAGAAAAATTTGTCCCATAAGCAGCGGGCAACTTGCTTCGCAGACTGGTTTCTACAGGGAAAGGCGAGTGCCAGCTTTGAAAAATGGTCTGTGACAACAAGAACATCAGTGGTCTTCTTGTCACTTGTCTCTGCTGTCCAAAAATCAATGCAGACTAGTTCCATAGGAGCTGAAGTGCGTATGTTCTCAAGAGGAGCCCGGGCATTTGGTTCAGGAGTCTTCCCTAAGATGCACCTCTGGCAGTGCTTCACATGCATCACAACATCTCTTCCCATGCCTGTCCAGAAGAATCTTTCACTGGCCAGAGAGAGAGTTCTTGAGCGGCCCTGGTGACCAGCTGCATCATGAACGTTGTGCAGGACTTGATGTTTCAAAGACTCAGGTATGACAAACTGAAAGATTTTCCTGTTCATGTGACGGTCTCTCTTCACTCTGAAAAGAATCCCATTACGCACCTTCAATTTCTCCCAGTGCTTCAACAATCTAAGTACACAGCTCGACTCAGCCGCTCTTTCATGTGCGTTTGGCCTCTTTTGCGCTGAACATAGAAGAGTGCTCTGCTCACTGTAGCATCCTGCTGCTGCAGATTGTGCAACTGACTGTGTGGGATGATGATGGATGGGTCTTCATCAGGCAACTGCAGAGAGGATGGGCTAGCACCGGACAGACGGGAGACACCACCAGTGCGATGAGCGTCCAAGATGGCTGACACCTCTTCAACACCAATAGCACCTCCAGACGGCAAATAGGTACCTTGTACTGTACTAAGATCCACATCAGTAGAGTCGACAGCAGTCTGCATGGCTTGGCAGTTGGTGGTTAGTCGGAAGGCGTCTTGCACTGTTCCAGTCAAAACTCCATTGATTTCATCCAACAAAGACAGATAGGCCTCCAGATGATGGCTTATGCTGGAACGGACGAAGGGTTCGCGGCTCAAGGCATCAGCGACAGCGTTCTTGGGCCCTGGAACATATTTCAGGTCAAAGTCGTATGCCGCTAGTTTCGCCACCCACCTCTGTTCACAGGCATCCAATCTGGGCTTCGTTAGGATGTAGGTCAAGGGGTTGTTGTCAGACCATGCAGTAAAATGCCTCCCTTTCAGCCAATGGGAAAACTTGTCACATACAGCCCACTTTAAGGCAAGAAATTCTAGTCTTTGAGCTGGGTAGTTCAACTGGGATTTCGACAGTGTTTTGCTAGCGAAGGCGACAGGCCTTGCAACCTTCTCACCATGTTGAAGCTGAGAAAGAACAGCTCCAATCCCGTCAAACGAGGCATCCACAGCAAGAATGAAAGGCTCCTCGAAGTCAGGATGGGCTAGGGTCACACTGTGTGATAGATCGCGTTTCAGAGTGTCAAACGGATCCTGACACTCGGACGTCCAGTCGTCTGCCGAAAGCTGCACTTGACTAGAGCGCTTTTTCACGTGCATCCTACTGCGCCGGGTTCTGCCTCCAGTCTTTTGTTCTGAGAGGAGCTTGAAAAGGGGCCTGGCCTTAGTAGAACAATCTTCGATGAAATGCTGATAATACAGCACCATCCCCAAGAATGACCAAATCTTCTTCTGTGAAGGGGTGACACCGTCGCTGTCCATCAAGTCAGACACCTTTACTTGGTTAATGGCTTCAACCTTTCCAGGGTCTGTCTGCACCCCTGACTCAGAAATGACATGCCCAAGAAACTTAACAGACCTTTGCAGGAAGTGGCACTTTTTCGGTGCCAGCTTGAGGTTATGTTTCTTCAAGCGAGAGAACACCATCTCCAAGCGGCTGGTGAAATTCTCATCTCCAAAAATGGAGAGCATCATGCGCATGAATGTAGCCGGACTGTTGGACAGACCATGAGGCATCCGGTTGTACTCATGCAGGCCAAACGGGGATGAGAAGGCAGTGTACTTTTTGTGGTCCTCATGCAGGGGTACATTGTAGAACCCGGAGGTGAGGTCCATGTTGGAAAAGAAGACATTTTCCCCCCAGTGCAGTGAGAGCATCAGCCTGGTGAGGCAGTGGGTGTGCATCCTTGACAGTCCTAGCATTGAGCCATCTGAAATCCGTGCAGATGCGCAGATCCCCATTTTTCTTCCATACGAGGACAAGTGGCGATGCATACTCACTGGAAGATTTTTGAATAATGCCTTTTTCTTCCATTTCATTGAGAGCTGTTCTCAGCTTCTCATAGTGGCTTGGTGGCACTCTGCGGTAGGGCAAACGGAATGGCCTCTCATCCACTAGATGTATCTTGTGCACAAAGTCAGATGCCTCCCCACAGTCCATCTTGTGTTGTGAGAAGATTGACTCATGTCTCTCAATGATCTGGAGAAGCCTGTCTCTCCACAGGTCAGAGACAGCACATGAATCCAAGTCCAGATCACTTAGACCAAGCTTGTCTAATGCTCTTCTGACATCCTCCTTGGACCTTGGCATCACAGCATCAGTCATAGATTGAGAGTGAACTTTGATGTGTTCAGGTTGAAACAGATCCTCCGCTGCAACACAGGGGAACACATCCGCCAGTTTTGTGTTCCTCTTCAGCACGATAAGTTCGTTGGTGGGGTTGATGATTTTCATTGGCAGACGTCGATCGCCCCACATAGGTGTAACAATCCTACCAACCAAGACATTTCTGGGTCTGCATCTTGCTTGGGTTGGTTCAACAATCACAGTACTGCCAACTGACATAGGTGCTGAAGCAGGAAGCTTGCCCCACACGAGATGTTCACTCTGTGGCTGCAACGTCACACATCGCAGCTTCAATGTGCCAACCCTGTCGGGCACTGTGTCACCTCTCCACTTCTCCGTGTTGGAGAGAAGAGAGAAGAAGTGATGGCAGTCTTCATCCGTAACACTACTGGGCTCAGACATGAGTCACCAATAGCTGACAGTCTGTCTCATCAGACGGATAATTGTCTTTATGGCATTGCTGCCCAAGATCATGTCATCAGTCTGTCCAAGCACCACAAACATGGGGACAATCATTTTGCAATCATACACCTCTATTTCCACATCATATGCAGCAGAAGGCGTGACCTGATGACCCCCACATCCAATAATGACAACATCATCTGCAGAGTATCGTCTCATATCTGGATCATGCTGCAGGAGGCGCTCTACAGCTGTCTCACTCAATGTGCATCCTGTAGAGCCACTGTCGATCAACGCCTTTAAAGAGACACCTGCTGCAGTGGCAGTGGTGCAGAACAAACTGTCTGACCTCTGAATTCTGTGAGCATCTTGAAATATGACAGTTTTGTTAGTGGGCACGCTGGAACAGACTGATTCAAAGACTGATTCAAAATCCTCAACATCACTCATGGGAGGGACAGCAATAGGATCCTCAGAACATCTCTCCCTCCTCTCCCTGTAATATAATAATGACTATTGCTGAATACTATAAGTAATGTCTTTTTTTAGTTTATGCTCAAGAGGAAAGTATGTGATGTAAAATATGTGAGCGTGCAAAGTATGTGTTTGTGTTGTTAAATCATGTACATGCTTGTGTTCCTATCGACATACTGTGTGTCAAATAGTAGCACATGCATAAAGTACTTTAAACTGTAACCCCACCACCCCTGTGTCCCTTTCTATTGTGAGTCTTGTCTGTGTGATAGTCATGTCTTTGTAGTGTTATAATGTCTTTCTGGTGTGTCTAGTTTTGTAAAATAAAAATTAAAAAAAAATTTATGTCATTTTTCAAGTGAGAATACCAACTGTTCCCCCATGTTTCTGTGTTTCTTTAATTGTCTGAAGCAAATTGAATTTGAAATGTTGATTTATTAACAAAGACATTTGAACCGTTACCTTGGGCATTAAGAAACCGTGTAACGGTGACATTGATTGCATAGACCAAATGATGCATTGTTTAAAATCAAATAATTGAAACATTCATTGAAATTAAGAATAATAATGTGAGGCCTGTCAGAGATTAGTCTTGTCAACTGTCATCAGACTTTGCTTGTTTTGGCTACTTAATGCTTGTGAACTTCTGCTTGTTATTGATATGTTGATACTTAATATTTTGTTTCAGAATTTACACATTTTTGTTATTTATATGTTTTATTTATGCTACGGTTAAATATAGCTATGTCAGTGAGCTTTAAGAGTGTTTTGGAGACCTAAGAGTTTTTTTTATAAGAAACCTTGTATGAAAGGTGCAGTAGTACAGAGGTCAGTATCGACATTGCATGATTTTTAAATCTCATTATGCAGTTATGATGAAGTAAAACTGAATCTTTAATGGTTTGATTTGTGCCTTTGTTATTCTGTTTGAGACTGAATGCATGACTAGCAACACAGAACCAGTCTGTTTGGAAAGTAAAATGTGCAGCAATAGATTTGTTCTAGCCCCCATGTATTACAGTTACTAGCTTCATTTTTGCACAAGGCAGTAAAACATTCATGATTAGATAAAAACAGTATTTTTTTCTACAGTGGCTAATCAGTTGGTAGTGATGGGAGAAATGGTTCATGGAATCAGTGGCAAAGTGAGACATCTGTTATTTGTATGCTCTCTGCTACAGGAGGCCTACATTTAGACCTCTGCCACATGGTGGAGCCATAAATTGTACCACCACAGGGACAGCTCTGATGTCCTGCACCTCCATAGCACCTCCTTGTTTTTTTCAATATGCAACAGTTCAAATGACGTTTGCACAGATGAGAAATGTCACATACTGTTCCCTCATTTATTTACTGTCATATTTATCACTATGCTGCCACACAGCAGTTAAATTTACTCCAGTGATCGTGAAGAGCAGTATATATAGAGGTAGCAGTAGGGCTGAGTAGATTCATCACTATGGAGTTGTCCAGTTTCATCTTTACTGCTTTACTTCTGAGTTCTTGAATCTTCTCCAATACTGTGTCCTGAGCAGGGAAATAACACGACTACTACTACTACTGTTTCTAGGTTTAAAAGAGATAGATAGATAGATAGATAGATAGATACATAGATAGATACATAGATACATAGATACTTTATTTAGCTCATTAGTAATAATAATAATAAGATTTAATAATAAATAATATACAATAACTAGAAAATTCCTGGGGAACGTTTGAATGTGCCTGCTGCTTGGTGCGTGTATTTCACTCCTCTCATTTCAATCTGTACAAAGGGCGTTACTTTCAGTGTCATTCATGTCGTAGAGACTTATCCTGACACTGACCTCGGTCACTACAGGTGTCCGTCAAAAACCCTTTTGAAGCTATCATGACTGGCCAAAATAACCTCACACTGACGGTTTCTAAAAATCTCTACATTTTTTGTATAAAAATTGTCAATGAAGGTTGGAAATTGTGGGATTTAAAAGAGCTTGTCTGACTTTTTTGAGGAAAATTTTTAAGGATGGCAGTTGGAGTGCAATGTTGTCTCCAGCTAGTGAGTGGAGTTGTGCCTAAAGACAGCAGACAACGCTGAAGATGTAATATATATCACAATCCTCTAAAGTGAAGTTACAGCAACACCACACGGAGTGAGCAAGAGAGAGGGAGAGAGAGAGAAGCTAGTGCTAACTGTTAAGCTAAAGTAACTAGCAGGTCTGAACAGCATGTAAACAACTGTGGAGTTAGTGAAAGTCGCAAAAAGTAGCAGAGAGTGCTGGAGCAGAACAAGTGTAAGTTTAAATGTACAGCAGGTAGTTAGACAATGGGATGAAGAAAATAGCAAGTAATAGAAACTGACTGGAGATGGGACACCACACTCACGTCAGTACGTCACCATGTGAACGTCGTCACTAGTATTAGTAAAAAGACATCAGTAGAAGTAAAAATGTTCTCAGATAAAATAACAAAGTCAGTTAAAATGTTTCTGAGTAAAGGTGTTGGGGGGGGTCCAATTGATTCCAATTAGCCAATAAGTGTTTGTGTGTGTATGTGTGTGTGTGTGTGTGTGTGTGTGTGTGTGTGTATTCACAGAGATCAAATAGCCTCTTAACAAGCTGGTTTGAACACCTGTGTCTAGCTGGAAGAGAGATCTGGGTGAGATTTTGACTCAGTGAGCCTCTCAAACGACCGCTATTTGTGAAAAAACTGTAACTCCTCTCAGAACCATGAGCAGACCATGACAAGCACAAGACCTTCATGCACTGCAGATCTGGCTTTGGTGTTTCTAGAGCCAAAAATGTGGACAAAGGAGCAAGTTACAGAAAAATGTCACTTCTGCATTTTTGGGGAAATCAGCTCCTGAATTTGTATTACAGTCAAAGGGAGAGGTGGAGGGTACTCCCATCACTTTGAGGCTCACATTCAAATTCTGTAAGTCTCTATGATAGACACATTCTATGAAACTCCCACTCTAGCGATGATGTCATCCACTCTAGCGCTGAACATTCCCAGCTTTTTGACCAGCTTGTCCAGTCTGCTTGTGTTCATCTTTGACATGCTACTGGCCCAGCAGACTGTAGCATAAACAAGGACACTGGCCACTACTGATTAATAAAACATGTAGCATTTCATTGCAGACATCAAAGGACCCGAGCCTCTTGAGGAAAAAGAGACAGCCCCTTCCGGTAGATGGCATCCATGTTCAAGGACCAGTCCAGTTTACTCTCCAGGTGCACACCTAGGTATTCATAAGTGTGCACCACCTCAATGTCCTTCCCTCTAATGTTGACTGGCTGAAAGTAGATGACCATCTCCTTGGTCTTCAAGGTGTTCACAAGGAGGCAGTTCTTGTCGCTCCATTCACTGAAGGCCATCGTCAGATCCCTGTAGACAGAACAGATATCAGTCTCTGCTCTGGAGATTTAAGTGTGACTGGCCACTCAGTTACTGCCACAGAAGTAGATGAACTTGCCAGCATTTGTAAGAGTGGAGCAGCTTCAATGGGGCTGTGGTGGGGTTCATATGGTCTGCTGCTGTTGAGTAACGTGGAAGGGATGAGGTGAAACACAGTCTTTCTTCACTCTGTGGAGATGTTGCAGTCCTGGGACCACAGATTACCCCACACGGCGCTGCAGGACATTTCAACAGACACGGTCACACAACAACTCTTTATGTGCCTCAGAGTACATGTCAAGCCTGTGTCACACTTTCACTCTGCTTTGTAAATGAATTGTTCATCAGCATTAATGTTCATGTGGAGGATAAAGTCAGTTTTTGGAGGTCATCATCTAATAATTGTGTTTGCACTGCTCTGTCTTTTGTACAAGTAGTGTGTTGTGTTTTCTGTTGCTTTAAAAATCCAATAAGTTTGTAGCTTGTAATATTACTTACACATATTATCTGTGCAGAGCTGCACTCTGACCTGTCATCTGTAATTTAATGAAAGACTTACTGGATGTAATTAGGTTTAGTTTATGTTGGATTAATCAGTTAACAGTGTGTGTGTGCTGATTAAAGTAGTGTAATTATTATCAGTTCAGGTCACTGAGTTGTAGAATTGCATATTAACATAATTTTACAACTTGGACAGCTCAAAAACAGTGTTTTATCTTTCTAATAAATTCAACAATGTAATGATGACATGATGTTTTCATTGTGTAAAAAGTGTAACAAGAGAACTTAACATCCATGTCTGTGTTGCTTCATTTGGTTGTTGTTGCCAGAGTAAAAAAAAAAGTTGAGATTAGGTCAAAAAACAAAAATTAAAACATTAATTTGAAATGAGATGTGAAAATTTCTGAACAATTTTTGCATGTGGACTCATATGTCTCTTTCTAACTGTTGAAATTTTTTACCAATGATATAACTTTTTCCCCCACCCACCCCCCCTTCCTCACTATCGGCCCATGGCATGATGTCCGTTTCTGTGGGTTGACAATTTATGGTAAATAATGTGGCAGGGGCACACCATGTCCCCTGATGAAGGATACAGTGGAGGATCAATGGGAATGATAAAATATAATCACGTTCTTTTAATCGAAGGGTGTCTAAGGAAGCTGTATCCTTTGTACTGTGTATATTGTTATGTTAAATTAGCATCAGCTGTCCAAACTTTTTTATATCACATATGAAAGATTATGGTTTCATATAAGCACAAGCATTTATTTATTTATATATGAAAATATCTGACAAAGTATTGCTTTAACAATGTATTACTATAACTTTATACAACACATTCAACAACAGCAAAGGTGAAAACATTACATATTTAAAACTACATCAAATAATTTCAAGTAATCCCACACTCACTTAGAGTATTATACAGAGAGAGACACTTAGATTTCAGTGAATCCTTTACAAACCTCAGGTTGTTGTGAAACTCTGTTGGGCAACAACACTTACGATCATCTCTTACAATGACAAGAAGCATCAGGTAGATGATTAAGCAACGTTTGTTCAATCAAATCAAAGAACAACCCAGTGGACAGCTCAGAGTGGTCCTCTGTTTGAAGACACTGCCTTCAGGAGTCACACACAAATATGACCAGTTTCTTTGCCTATTTGTCCAGTATTTACATTTCCTCTATAAGGTACGGCAATCCCATCATCTGCTCGGCCACTCTGTCCTCACCGTCCCCCCTCATCATTCCCTGGGACTGGCTGTATGGTATCATGTCTATCTGAGTCATTTGACTGGTAGATCCGGAGGTGACAGGGTTCAGGATGTGGGCCTGACCCGGGTATGAGCTCACCCACTCCTGGATGAAAGAGGACACCCTTGAATCAGACATCTGCATGGTCCAGAGGCAGGAGGAAACAGTTAAGTACTTCTCAGATTAAGTTTACATAAAAAACGTGATGCATTATGGAAACAAGATTTTAGCTTTACTATGTTTTTATCCTTAACAGTTAACTGTTTCTGACAAGAAATATTGACAAATTGTTTGTATTTGTAACGTGTCCAAATTATTTAAATTTGTGATGACACAAATTTATACTTCTCCGGAAAGAGTTTGAACAGTTGAATTCAGTGGAGGGAGAATTGAAAACAGTAAAGACACGGTTTGACACTAACAAATTATCATTTGATTTATATAAGACTAAATATATAATATTTGGAAATCGGAAATCATAAAACAAGTTAAAATCAGCATTAACAACTTTTAAAAAGAAAGAGTGTATGAAAATACATTTCTGGGTGTCATTATTGACAATAAATTATGTTGGAAGCCTCACATCAATAATGTAAAGACAAAAACTGTCTAAAACTGTGGCAGTGTTGCATAAGGCAAAATGAAAAATCAATACATATATCATACTGCTCTCTCATATTACCATACATTACTTATCGTGTGGAGATATGGGGAAACACTTAAAAACGAACACAAACTCAATTTACATGCTGCAGAAGAAAGCTATGAGAATCATCAATCAGATTATTATGAACCAACAAACCCACTATATTTATTCATTCATATGCTTTAAATTTTCATGATCTGGTTGACTTTAAAACTGCACAGATAATGTATAAAGCACAAAATTATTTAGTCCCAAACTGTATTCAGAGGTTGTTTGAAACCAGAAAGAAACTGTTTGAATTTAGGGGAATAAGTACATTCATAAAAGCAAGGGTAAGGACCANATTATGAACCAACAAACCCACTATATTTATTCATTCATATGCTTTAAATTTTCATGATCTGGTTGACTTTAAAACTGCACAGATAATGTATAAAGCACAAAATTATTTAGTCCCAAACTGTATTCAGAGGTTGTTTGAAACCAGAAAGAAACTGTTTGAATTTAGGGGAATAAGTACATTCATAAAAGCAAGGGTAAGGACCAATGTAAAAAGATGTATAACTATCAAAGGGGTAAACCCGTGGATGAGCTGTGATAATGAAATAAGAATGTATAGTTCACTTGGTAAAATTTAAAAAAAAAAAAGTTTAAAAATATGGTGATAAATAGATACACAACTGAGATATGATCATTATCATTGCATAAATGCAGCAGTGAAAGGTTTCTTTCTGTTTTTGCTTCTTCTTGGCCTGTAGTGACAAGGTTGCTGTTTCATTTAACATTATGCATTGAGGGGAGGTGTAATGAGTAATGAACTATAGCTTCAGCCCACCAAGAGGAGAAGGTATCTAAAAGTTTTGGAACAATTTCACTCGAATACCATAATGAAAAGTCCAGAGATCACCAAAGTCATCACCACAATCTCCAAAGAATCACCAAAGCAATCAGGATCGTTCCTCTGGGGATGATATGGATATCTGTATATAATATTCATGGAGAACCATCCAGTAATTTATTTGACCGGTGGTAGAACGCAATGCCATAGAGTTGGATAATTAATCTGATGTAGGATGGGACTGAGACTGGATTGCAGTATTGCTTGGACTGTAGTCTTCATGCAGAGTAGGGAATGTAAGAGTAAACAAGTAAATAATCTTTGCACTTAACGTGTCTTATTTTTCTCCCTATGTAGCAAACAAGCCAACACAGAATGCAAAATCACAACATCAATGTAGTTTTTTGTTTCTTTTTTGGGCGGGGCACAACTGTGTTTGAGGGCCAAAAAACATGAGGTAATGCTTACCTTATTTCATCAAGCCTATTAATGTGATAGAAGCATCCTCTGTGTTTCATCTTCAGACAAGTCCTATCGAGCTCAATCAGAGTTTCCATA